AACTTTTTAAAACTTTCTTTATGACCAGATTCTTTATATATATATTTTATATATTAAGTTTTTTGTAGGGTTTCGTACAAAATAAAGGCCTTAAAAGTTTGTAAAAATGTTTGACGGTCTATTTTGCCATCATATGAGAGTGACAATAGAGTTTATTTAATCATTCATTTAAGCATCATTCTGTATGTGTAAAACACTTATAATGTAAGATTGGGAGAAGGCCAATGACAAAGACTTGAAAACAGAATAAGGTCACTCTACATTGCAGTTGCTCTTTTTGAGCTGTTTAAATCTTTACTTTTTTTCTTAAAAGCATGTAATGATTTTATAAAAATTTCTCTGTTTAACGGCTCTTTACTTGTTTTTTTGCCTAATTACTTACATTCAATTTAATGTTTAAACAAGAGGCACCGCCCAGAGGGGGCCACACCTGACTTTTTCTTATTTTTCAAGTCAAATATGTCATTAAAGGAAGAATAATATTATTGTAGTAAAGAATACTCCCAGAAAACATTACTTTCTAGTCTGTAAAATATAAATCAAATTTCATATTTGATGTTGATATGTACCATTTAGCATGTAAAGGAATGTTACTTTGTCATGAGACTATTAATTGTCACAATTGTTTTATTATTCCACCTTATAAAATGTACATTTGAAATTCAAAAGCACACTGAGTCTATGACTTTTTCTAATACAATAAAGTACTGGAAGCCCTATTAAAACCAACAATACAACATTATATACAAGGTAATAATTACACACACTAAGCTAACCTGTCTATAAAATAGCAGTCTACAGAAAAAGAATGAAGTCTTAAAATATGCAAGTTTATATACTAAATGATTAAAATGGAAACTTAAATGCATACAAGCACCTAGAGACACTGATTTACTATAAATTGCCTAAATATGGTGGCCGTTAGCAAAGATGTGAATTTATTCCATAATAAGATCTGTTAGTAGAACAGCACAATTGAACTTTCTCAGTGCTTGATAGTTAATAATTAGCTAGGAGCCAATCTTAATAAAGGGACATAATTCAGTAAAAATTCTATATTAGAGTTTATAACCTCTATTATAGTTCAAAATACATGAATGTATTACATTTTAAGTGAAAACCTTCTTTAGTTTTGATTATAAATGTGGCATACAAAACTTAAACCAAGAAAGGTCACAAAGGGTCATAATTCAGTCAAAATCAACACCGAAGTTAAAGGCATTAAGTACTGACCACCAATAATTATAAACCTGAGTACATAATTATCTCAAATTTCAAAAGAACACCTTCAGAAGTTTGGAAAATTGATGTAATGCATGCAAAACTTAAACCATGATTTTTAAGTTCACATTAAAGGGCCATAATTCTGTCAAAATCAATGCTAGAGCTGATGGACCTTTGACAGTAATCTCTAAAAGATAGGTGTGTGAAATTACAGATTTCATTTTTGACTTATGTGACCTACTTATGCATCAGACTGGAACCATTTATCAGTCTTTTGTAGAGAACATCCTAAGGATCATTCCTGTGAGGTTTCCTCAAAGTGGTTTATGAGAAGATGTATTTTAATAAACTGTGTACAACGGCGGATGATAAAAGACGGAGAACAGACACACTGCCATCACAAAAGCTTAACTCTGAGAATTTGTGCTCAAGTGAGCTTAGAAGGAGGTCAATCTGCCTGACTTGTTTCAAAGAGATATGAATTTTAAAATAAGCTCTTGCAAGGTGGACACTAAACCTACCCATCACCCCTGGCTTCTCTAATTAAAATGACAAATATAATCTTTCATATGAGATTTTAAACCAAGGTCCTCTGTATTTATTTATAATCTGTTTTATCTGTCTTGATTTTTTTATCAAGGCAGAAATAAGATTTCTACAAATTTTGCATTAAATTTACAAAGTTGCATAAGTGCTTAGGTCCCAGATACTGACAAAAATTTTTAAGGAAACAAATAAATTATATGATACAAACTATTCCAAAGATACTCGCAGAAACTTTCATGATTATTTTTTAATCAGATTGACCTTCTTTGAAGAATATAAGGAAGTATTTAAAAGGAAACTATTGCTAAACAAGAGAGTCAGGATGGCCATACATTGTTCACACTGAGCTCCATTGCCAAAAAATTCAGTAGTAGGTCACTGGTCACAGCCCATGATATTTGTTACTTGAGCAGAGGTCCACTAGACAATGCTAATGTTTCAAATATCTTAACTTTAGTTCATGTTGTTTCACATAAGAAAATTTAATGCTTTTTTCTGATATATGTCTTTATTAATGTTAATAGGTGACAACTGACATACACATCAGGTCATTTTTGACTTATGGCACATAATTTGCAAAATTTTTGTAACAGAACACAAGATAATGCTACAAACCTTAGCTCTATGCACTGCTGTTTCTGAAAAGATTTCTTTTTTTTTTAAATTTATTTTCTGCTCCTGTGGCATACTTATATACAGCAGACTGGAAATATCTTTATATTTTTCTAGAGGGGTCACCTACTTATAAAATATAGACTACAGGAGGCAGATTGTTTCACTCCTGTCACCTGACTAAACTGTAGTATGGTCAACAAGAAGATGTTGTTTGGATAGACGACAGACATAATACTTTCACAAAAGCGCTCTAATCTGATCCCTTCATGTTTAGGTGAGCTAAGAAAGTGACATTCTTTGGGACTTAAAGAAATAAAGAAGCACACAGCAACAACATTGTTTATATCTTAAAGTTGTGTGGGTTTTTTAAATCTATTTAGAAATCTTGACTCTCAAAGGACTGTGGCCCCTTTCCATCAAAGAGTCTAATCATTGGACCAATTATTACAGCTTTTAATGAGAGAGTTAACACGATGCTAATTTCCAGTTGAAGAAATAAAGATCTGCAGCCGGTTTATATAAGAGGAACAATAAGGCACTTGGTTTTGGGACAAAGACCCTTTTAACTAATCAATAGCTGTCCACTTTATCGCTTACCTGAAACCTATTGCTAGAAATGGTCATAACTCTTCAATGCAAAAACTAAGTCATTGGGTCACAATAGGGTGTGGCTTTTTTAGACAATATGGGCATGGTCTATATAATGTTTGTAGGAGACCGTGCACAAGATGATGCTACATGCCAAATACTTAACTTAAGCTCTAAGCATTAGAAGAGTTTTAATGATTTCAATTTCTAAAGTCTTTTTGTTACTAAGCTTCTGTGACCTACTTCTGCATCAGACTTGAACTTTTTGTAGATCTTTTTCACAGAGGTTTGGTCAAAATCTACTATTTGGTTAAAGGTAGAGATGGTTTTTTTTTAAAGAAATTGTGGATATTAATTATTCAGATATTGCGCTATTGCAAATGTTGACCTCTGAACATTTTGTGCTTTTTTTAGTCAGTGAAAAATTGAGATAATTTTTGTAAAACTATCAATCATTTGAACTTTATAAATTTATTAGAAAACCATTCCCAAAATTATATCTTTGAAATGCATATTATGGATAACTTTATTAAAAATATATCAATAAATACCCTCTCAACCATATAAATGTACTGGTAAAATTTAATTTAATAACCAAACTGGTTATTTTCCTTAACTTAATAGTTAATGTGAATATAAAACAGAACTGGAGTGACATGCCTTGATGAAATAGTGATATGCCTTGATGAAATAGTGATATGCCTTTATGAAATGTAATCTGCAAAAACCCACAACCATAAAGATATAAACAAGTTAATTGACAAAACATAAGCATGCAAAACTTCAAACAAAAGCATACAAAATTTTTGGGCGGGACTACGGGAGGCGGGCTGTTACTCCAGTCATCTGGCTCCAAATAGTCGTCTACTGGTTCGTCCTACATGAAGACATGTACATTAACTAAATATACCCTTAAACTACAGTATGAATGTTACTTGATTGTAGCTTGTTCCTTCATTTTCATTACAACATTTTCAGTAAAATCTTATATTGAGACAGGCACAATGTTATCTAGGCCATCCTTAAAAAAATGTTTGTTTGCAGTAACCCGACCCAGAATTTTCAAGGTGGGTAGGTAGGTCGATTTTTTTTTTTTATTGAACTATACTCCCAAATAAACATGGAATTTCAAAATGCTGGACAATATATGCTTTGATAATCTTGTAACAATTAATAAATTGATAACTGAATTCTAATTTAATAAGAACTACATTTTATTTCTTCTATTAACCTTTAAAAGCACAAGGCATAATTTTCTGATTCAAAAAAAAATTTTTTTTTATCCAGACCATGAAAAAAAAATTTGAGTAGGGGCAAATTTTGTGAGTCGGTCGCGTTACTGCAAACGAACATTTTTTTAAGGATGGCCCTATGTGTAAAGAAGTATCCAAAATAACACCAAAGAACTAAGAATATGTTGTATTTTATTTTAACACTCACATAAAAAATTACAACAGTTTATATAAAAAAATTTCAATCACAAAAATTAATGAACTATCTAATTTCTTTAAAAAATAAACTAAAAGAACAAGCTGCTTTTTATAGGCAAACATGTAACATACAAGTGCACAGTAAGCAATAGAATATGTAAGGAAAAATATATATTTTTTCAGTCATATCAAAATAAGTTCATATTCCTAAGCTGATATCAAATTTACTATAATTATCAAGGTCATATCAAATTCACTTATAATCCCCATAATTAATAATGATGTAATAATTAAACAAATCCTTTCACATTGACACACCCTTGCATAAAATAAGTGTGCTAAACATAGCTTTAACATACATTTTGTGCACATTAAAGTGTTTGTTAAAGGTACATTTAACATGTTTGGAATTGCAAGGCACTGTGTTTTTCTATTTGTATTTTTTTTACATTAGAGACAAACTCTTTGTTTGTAAGACATGCAAGAATCTGGCTTTATCCTGTTCTCAAAATTACACAACAAGATAACAAGATCAGACTAATGTTGTAACATTTAGGATCTCATTTTGTACATACCTGGCCATTTTGTACTGGCGGAGGTGGGAGTCTTCCCCCACCATGTCCTGGTTTACCTCCATGACCGGGTCTATTTGGCAGAGGGGGTGGGGCATCACCCGACTCCCCTGATGGAGGCTACAAAATATAAGATATATATATATTCATGCATATTCATAAACAAAATTGTATATATTTAATGTTACAAAACTGATTATTTTAAATGATGCATAACAAGGCACATTAAATTGAGAGAATTTTAGATTTGTCTTCCATGACATGCTTATAAAGACAATTTTTTGTTTGTTCTGAATCCAGACTTGCAATACATACAATCATAACAATTCCTATATCAAAGTTACACAAACTAATAGTAGTATCTAGTATTACCAAGTAAACATCTCTCGGGTTATTTTTACTAATGAGGTGTTGTCAAAATGTCCAGGGTTGTACACTTGAACCCCAACATTTAAGTGAGTTATCACCATTGTTCCTGCCTTTCTAATCATGTATAAATGTAAAGGAATCAAAATGTCTCTATGATAATTTTATAATTATAGAAACAAAATCATCACCTTAGTGCAGTAACAGATTAACTCCTTATATAATTTAATAGGAGTTAACCCGTTACTGCACTAATGTAACAACACTTTCTTATAAAGGAATCATTAACAGTATCTTAACGTAAACGTAATGTAAACGTAATTTTTCTTTCTAAAACTGTTATAACTGCAGACTTACCTCGGGTGGTAAAGGTCTACTACGGCCCGGGGGTGGGGGTAAGCGTGATCTACTCATGATGATTACAGAATTCTATGATGTTCAACGTTGAAATCACAATCTGCAAAAAAATAAAAAAAATGTATTTTATTTACTCTTAAGCATTTGTATTTATTTGAACAATTGCTGGTACCAGACAAACACTAGGGGTAAGAACATGACCCCTCCTTGCTCAGCCTTTATAAATGCTAGTAACTTTTAACATTTTAAAACATTAGGGACATCATTCTGTCTCAGTCATAAACTTAGTTTATTGATTCAATTTCCTCATGATTTTTAACATGAAAAAAGTCCCATTTGATATCAAGTCATAATAAATATTAGTACTTTATAACTACCGTAATTGAGACTTGATAGTAACTGGGGGGATATTTTGTATTTGTCTAGAAATGGTTTTATAAAGATAAATGCCCTATCTGTTTTAATATGGTAAAAGTTTTTTTTGTTTTTTTTGACAGTTGACAGGGATTGATCAAGCCAGGGGCTGGGTCTGACCCCCCCCCCCCCCCCCCCCAAAGACAGTGACAGACAATAGCCTTTATCATAATCTCCAGCATTACAAGAGTTAGTTTTTGATTAGATAAGCAATAATTTAGGGAGTTTTCTTAATATATAATTTTTTGTCCGAATCTTTCACTTTTAAGCTTTTCCAGATTGACTCAATGGCATTATTCAAGAGGCCACAATATTGAAACAATGCTGAGGAAATTTTATTCATTAGAAACAAGACAAAAAAAAATTTCTTCACTGGAAACTTGACTTCACTGGCAACATGTCATGAAACATCTTTTTATACAGGGAACCTTAATACACTGGTAACCAGGTCCAGGGAACTTTTATTCACTGGGAACCTTTATTCATTGGTTACTAAGCCCAGGGAACCCTGATTTACTGGCAGCTAGGCCCAGGACACTTTTACTGGCATCATACAAATTTTATTTCCTAGTAACTAGGGTAACAAGACTGGTAACCTGGCTAGGAGAATTTTACATATTGGTTATCTGAACAGGAAACCTTTATTTACCTGTAAAAAGGTCAAAAAACTTTTATTCATTGGTAACTTTCGGTGTTCTAAATACTTAATGTCCCTAAGGTACTAAACTAACAGTAATTAAACAATTTTTTTAAGTAAAAGCATTACTTGGCTGCACTTTTAAGAAAAAAAGAGGAAAATAATCTAAACTTCACCACATACTTATGCATTACTTTTTTCCTTCCTGATGTTTAACAATTTACCAATGTAAAACTGTTATAAAATGGTACTAATTTTGAAAAGGCTCAAGTAGTATGCAGCAACTATTCTCTATGTACTGTTTCTTTATGAGAGGATACATGTAGTTTGTGAAAATTCTGTTTGTAAAATATTAAGAAGACTTCAAAATCTGCCACACTCCCTAGCTATTACATTAAAAATCTGTCACATTCCCTAGCTGTTGCATTAAAATCTGTCACACTTCCTTGCTATTGCATTAAAATCTGTCAAACTCTCTAGCCATTTTCTTAAAGTCTGTCCCTAGCTAATGCCTTAAAATCTGTCACACTCTCTAACTTTTGCCTTGAATCTGTCACACTCCCTAAATATTGCCTTAGAATCTGTCACATTCCCTAACTATTGCCTTAGAATCTGTCACACTCACTAGTTAACTATTTCCTTATAATATGTCACACTCCCTTACTATTGACTTAGAATCTGTCACACTCCCTAACTATTGCATTAGAATCTGTCACACTCCCTAACTATTTCCTAGAATCTGTCACAATCCCTAACTATTGCCTCAGAATATGTCACACTCCCTAGCTATTGCATTAAAATTTGTCACACTCTGTAGCTATTGCATTAAAATCTGTAACACTCCCTAACTATTACCTTAGAATCTGTCACACACCCTAACTATTTCCTTAGAATCTGTCACACTCCTTTACTATTGCCTTAGAATCTGTCACACTCCCTAACTATTACCTTAGAATCTGTCACACACCCTAACTATTTCCTTAGAATCTGTCACACTCACTAACTATCACCTTAGAATATGTCACACTCCTTTACTATTGCCTTAGAATCTGTCACACTCACTAACTTTTGCCTTAGAATATGTCACACTTCTTTACTATTGCCTTAGAATCTGTCACATTCCTTAACCATTGCATTAGAATCTGTCACACTCCCTAACTGTTTACTTAGAATCTGTCACACTCCCTAACTATTGCCTTATAATCTGTCACACTCACCTAATAATGTCTTAGCATCTGTCACACTCCCTGACTTTTGCCTTAGAATATGTCGCACTCCCTAGCTAATGCCTTAAAATCTGTCACACTCTCTAGCTATTGCCAGCTTCTTAAGAAATTCCTTTCATTTATATCATTGTAACAATTTAAAGTCTAGACATAAATTAAATCCAAATTTACCACTGTTTAATATAGGGCTTATTTAACCTTAGCATTCCATATTTTTTATTCTTTAGCAATGTCAAACATTTGTTTTAAATAAAGTTTTAATTATAGATTTAGAGCATATTAGAATACAAACAACTGAAAGTTGCGCTGAATGTTCAATAATGTGTTGTAAAGGTAGCAAATTTTAAACAAAGTAGCATTTGACTTCCTTACAGTTAAATATTCATTCACTATGATTATACATATTGCCAACAGGAAATGATTGTTTATTTATGTGGTAAATATGTATTGTTTTCGAAACTTTAACAAGATGCCAAAAATAGGAAGTTTTTGAGAAATAAAAACAATAGCATTTCTGAGGAATAATAGGCCTTTAACTGAAAATAACATTTCTGTGCTCTAACCACAGCACACTGTATAGGAGAAACAGTACCTGCCTGCAGGAAGGGCAAATTTTAGGTTGGTTAATTTCCGTAAAGAAGGGGGAATTTCACATATCCTGTGCTCCTCTTAGTTCATGGTACTTAACACTTTGAAACCAGCAAAAAAACAATAAATGAAACTTATGGTACAAAAATTGCCATAAGCTTTAACATTTAGGTATTTTCTGCTGTATGACACAAGGAAACAACAATATATTCAGTCAAAGTCAATTTTAATGGACAAAACGTAGACCATATGTCAGCCATTTTGAAAACAGTGTTTCATCATTTAAATCGCAGTAATAGTGTTACATTTCAGTTTTTATATTTCTCATGTTATTTTGCATGATTTTAAGTATTAATTGTAAGTCAAAATTTATTTTTTCAACAAACAAGAACATTTAGAAAATGATGAATGTTTCAGGCGTACACACAAATTTAATGGACTATTGTTGCTTTTTGCAGAAATTTGTAAAATTGTGTTCTGTGTTTTATGTAAAAATTTGGAGAATTAAAATATTTTGCACAAAATCTTTGTTGTTTAGGTGTATGAATAAAATATGTCAATTCTGACCAATTTTATTTAACAGCAGTCTGGTCACATGAAATATGCCATTACCGTGAAATAAGTGATGACGCAGAATTAGTGATGTTGAGCATACATACAATATTGACATTTATTATATACTTATAAATGAAATATTGAGAAATATTGATGAAATAAAATGCGTATTTTCATTTTCCGTATTTTCACTGTAAAAATTTATTTTTCACTGCAGTGAAACATATTTTCCGTATTTTCACTGGTGTCTTGCCGGACTACTTTCTTTTAAATTCAACCAGTACACAAAATTTAAGGGAAAGTTTTTCAAATTTCATCACAAAAAAGAGAAAAATGTACATAATAAACAGAAAATTCAAGTTTTTTCTATAAATACATGATTTATTTTCATCTTGTGGCATGAAAATTACCATATTTCACTCGTGGCTACCGCCACTCATGAAATATTTATTTTCATACCACTCGATGAAAATAAATCATGTATTTATAGAAAAAACTTGAATATCCTCTATTTCTCTATTAATAATTACATATTTTCATTTTGAAAATTAAGATTATTTTTTATATTTTGTGTGAATAATTCAATATAGACATGATTTTTTTCATGGTTTGTTCTGGAAAATTTCAATATATCCACTCAATTAATAGCCTGAAGACAGTGCAGACCATGGTCAGACAGTTAAAGGACATGGCAGCTAATCTTTGTCTGCATTGCTGGCATAGACTGATTCTGTAGCCACCTTAGGTTAAAGCAAGTTAAAGGTTAAGTTATATCTTACAATAAATACATTATCAACTGTCAAATACATTTCTTTTTTTCATTGATAAAATCCTAATCATAACATGAAATATTATATAAGTACATGTATAATTATATATGTATGATGATAATATAAACTAACCCATTAAGGAAGTATAATTTACGATTATTTTTTTCCTATCCAATAATACATGGAAGTCATACTTCCAGTACCGTATTTACTAACTTGAAGGTCCTACTTTAGAAGATTACACTTTACCTGGCTTTAATCTATTACAAATGAATCAGTTCAGTTTATTTTAGTATGGCCAATTAAACAACTTTTGATAAGTTTTACTCCTTATATTAAAATGACTATGTACATGCATCTTACATTAATTAACAGAAACCTTTACATTTATTAGCTAAATTGCTTCCTCTACTCAAAACATCCTTTACTACAATGACAGGTCAAAAACAAATTATGTCCTTACATTTAAAAATTTAATCAGGAAGAACATTTTCAGTAAAATTCCCCTTACATATTAATACAATACTTAAACCTTTTTCAGATCAGGGGTGAAAACAGAAAAGGGAAATTCACCATAAATTATTTAAATTTCACACTACTTGCACACATGGTTTCAAATCACCCATAAAATTCAGATTCACTTTATGACTGTAATTATATTGTAAACCATGAACTTGATGAAATATTGAATCAGCCTGGTTATTTTAATACCAGGAAGTTAACTTAAAAGATAAACCTGTCGTGTTCAGTCACCATGGCAATATTAACCAAATTTAATATTTTTCTGCCTTTTATACTAGATAGTTTGCAACTTTCCCTTTGGATATAAAAATTACACTGTCACACAATAAGTATTACTATTTTACTGTATTAAAATAAATGTTGAAAATTGGTAGGTTTGTTTATTATAATAATTCAAAGAGTATGCAACATAATATCATAGTTCTAAAGCAAGACACAGTCTATCCATCTATAGTTTCAAGTTAATACATCCAACACTTTTCAGTAATTCTGTAGATAAATACATGTATTAAATGTTTTAAGTATGAGGAATGACAAAGGGCAACAGCTCTAAAATTATACAAAAGGAGGTTTTTTGTTCTAAAACACTGTAATTTTCCTTAATGTGTACTAGCCACTTATGCTGCTTTAAACTGATATATCTGATGTTTTTTTAAAGCAGCATATAATTATATACCTCCAGATTCATGGTTGTTTTCATGAAAATTTTGAAAATGTATTTAAAAAGTAAAATATTGTGAAGTGAACAAAGAAAGTAATTGAACACTGCAAACAGCACTTGCAATCCAAGTAAATTACAAAAAAGAGATCAAAATCTGCAATAATAGCCCTTACTGTGAGTTAGGGGATAAATACTGCCAAATTGGTCATTGATCACTTATAACTTGTACAATTTTACCTGAATCTTTTATTTTTTACTTTTCTTAAAATATTAATACAATTATCTCAATTTTGATTTTTCTTAATATTTTGGCTCATCTGGAGACATGCTGCTTTGTCAGTTATGTCCCAGAAAACTAGAAATGTGTCCGTACGACACGGGTGCCACCACACTCCACTGTTTTGTCAATCTTATGACTCTAGGTCAAATTTTTTTTGGGCTACAGGTGCCACAAGTTGCAAACTAAAAATCTTTTACAAGAACTTTACAAGGACTGAATAAATCCATGAGCAAATTCCAAGGTGCATAAGTACACATGCTAACCAACATTCTTGAAAACTTTCAAGCCTACAGGTTAAATACTTTTTGAGCTATGCATGAACAAGTTGAAAACTGCAAATTTATACTAAGTCAAGGGCAATAACTCTAACAAAACTGAAAAAAATCCACCTGCAAAACCCCAGGTGCATAGCTTCACAGTAATGTTGATCATCATTTCTGTAATTTTGGTTGATTATTACACAAGCAGTCAAGGAACAAATAACACAACATAATGGAACGATTTTTACTAAGTCAAGGGCAATAACTCTAGAAATACTGACTAAATCAACAAGTGAAACCCAAGGTGCACAACTACACATGCTGAGCAAAATTCCTATTAAGTTTCATGACTCTAGGTTGAATACTTTTTGAGCTAGGCAGGACACAAATTGATGGCCATGATGGCCCTGAGGTCGCCCACCTGTATATAGGCCCCCCCCCCCCCCGCCCCCATGCTAAACATTTAAGCTCTAGCTCATTGGGCTTTTTAAAAGAAGATTTTATTAAATTTTTTACTATACACATATAGTTAAAAACAATGAAACCCCTGGGGCCGGGCCAGGGCTTTTATTTGAACAAACTTTGTAGACACTTACTAGAAGATGTTTCATGCTTAATATCTAAACTCTAGCTATTTGGGTTTTTTTAAAGAAGATTTTAAGTTTTTAATTGCTATACACATATAAAGAAAATCAATGACCCCCTGGGGCGGGGCCAATTTTGACCCCAGGTCTTTTGTTTGAACAAACTTTGTAGACACTCACTAAAAAAGATGTTTCATGCTTAATATCTTAACTCTAGCTATTTGGTCTTTTTCAAAGAAGATTTTTTTATTAGTTTTTGCTATACACATATCAGGAAAATCAATGACCCCGGGGCGGTGCCAATTTTGACCCCAGGGCGTTTATTTGAACAAACTTGGTAGACACCTATTAGAACATGTTTGATGCTAAATATCTCAGCTCTAACTCTTTTGGTTCTTTAAAAGAAGATTTTTTAAGTTTTTACTATATGCATATAGGGAAAATCAATGACCCCCTGGGGCGGGGCCAATTTAACCCCAGGGCTTTTATTTGAACAAACTTGGTAGACACCTATTAGAACATATTTCATGCTTAATATCTTAGCTCTCGCTCTTTGGGTTCTTTAAAAGAAGATTTTTTAAGTTTTTACTATATGCATATAGGGAAAATCAATGACCCCCCCGGGGCGGGGCCAATTTTAACCCCAGGGCTTTTATTTGAACAAACTTGGTAGACACCCATTAGAACATATTTCATGCTTAATATCTTAGCTCTGGCTCTTTGGGTTCTTTAAAAGAAGATTTTTTAAGTTTTTACTATATGCATATAGGGAAAATCAATGACCCCCTGGGGCGGGGCCAATTTAACCCCAGGGCTTTTATTTGAACAAACTTGGTAGACACCTATTAGAACATATTTCATGCTTAATATCTTAGCTCTCGCTCTTTGGGTTCTTTAAAAGAAGATTTTTTAAGTTTTTACTATATGCATATAGGGAAAATCAATGACCCCCCGGGGCGGGGCCAATTTTAACCCCAGGGCTTTTATTTGAACAAACTTGGTAGACACCCATTAGAACATATTTCATGCTTAATATCTTAGCTCTGGCTCTTTGGGTTCTTTAAAAGAAGATTTTTAAGTTTTTACTATATGCATATAGGGAAAATCAATGACCCCACGGGGCGGGCCAATTTTGACCCAAGGGTTTTTATTTGAACAAACTTGGTAGACACTCACTAGAAGATGTTTCATGCCAAATATCTAAGATCTAGCTCTTTTGGTTTTTTAAAAGAAGATATTTAAAGTTTTTTCTTTCGGTTGCCATGGCAACCAGAGTTCTGCATGGAATTAAATTCTTTGAACAATTTTTAAAGGTGACCACCAAAGGAACATTCCTGTGAAATTTGGATGAAATTGGCTTAGTGGTTTATGAGGAGATGTCATTTAAAGTAAAAGTTTACGGACAGACGACGGACGGACAGACGACGGACGAAAAGCGATCACATAAGCTCAATATGTCACTTTGTGACAGATGAGCTAAAAATGCAAATTTTCACTAAGTCAAGGGCAATAACTCTGACAAAACAGAATAAATTCACAAGCGAAACCCCAGGTGCACAACTTCACATGCTGATCAACATTCCTGTAAAGTTTAATGACCCTAGGTCAAATACTTTTTGAGCTACGTGCGACACAAGTTGAAAATTGCAAATTTTACTAAGTCAAGGGCAATAACTCTGACAAAACAGAATAAATCCACAAGCAAAACCCCAGATGCAAAAACTTCAAATGTTCAGCAACATTCCTGTTAAGTTTTCATGACTCTAGGTTAAATACTTTTCGAGTTATGTGCAACACAAGTTGAAAATTGCAAATTTTCACTTAGTCAAGGGCAATAACACGTACTACAATTACTAAATAAATCCACACGAAAATACCCAGGTGCACAACATTTCTTTAAAGTTTCATCACAAACACTTGGGGTTTGGAGCTCAAAACGCCTTTAAAATCCAAATAAAATGCATATTTGTCAATCCCAGCCAGGGCACTCGTTTGGCCATTTTTGGGGCCGAATATCGGCCCCATTCCCCTCTCAAAATCATATGCTTTTTTCCCCTATTTCAGTAGAAAATTCCCCTCAAAAAAAAATTGTAGTGTAAATGTTTGATATTTAACCAAAAAAGTGATGTTTTGATTTCATAAAAATAAAATATATTTCTGTTTAACTTTCAATGGATTGAAAACTAAAATACAGTTGTCAACAACGCTGTATGTTAAAACCGAAAGTAGCAGGTAGTGAGAAATGTACAGTCTCGTAAAATTATTGACAAAATTAATGTGGCAGATAATCATCGTAGGAGTTTACCTTATATTCAATTTGTTTAGAGAATAGACATACATTGTCATATTCTACTAGTCAATAAACAAAACTATTTTAATTTCTGTCAGTTGTTGTTGGAAAAAACGTATTTCTTTGTACTCAAATATTTTCGTACCAAATATTTTCGTACCCAGTTTTACAGTTACAGACAATTTCCTCTGAAACCAAAACCTTTTTTAGAAAAGGCATAAAACTTTCTTGTTTATTTTTATTTAATTCTTATTTCAATTCTCATTGTTATAATTGTTTCAATCTAAAGAACAGGCAGAAATATGTAGAAAATAGATTAAGAACTGACCAGTGCAGATTGCAAAATAGTGTGATACATTTTTAACTTTAAAAATAAAGAAAACATTAATGACTATAATAGGAAATAGTTTTGCTGTGTTTCAATAACTTGGGTACAACATACCCTTGCCTAGGAAAGTCTGCCTTTCCAGAGCTTGTTGCACTGATTCAATTTTTGTTGTACAAGTTTTTTTTTTTAAAACAACAACAACAAAAACAACTGTCAGTTTTTATTTTTTATCATAAACAAAAATGCATTATGCTTGTTATAGATTTTAATATAACCTTAACGTTTTTCAGAATTTGCATTTTACCCCTCACTTTAGAATTTCAGGGGTATTAAATCCTTGGCCAAAAAAATATAATTATCTGGAGCTCTGATTGGTGTCGAGTCAGTCAAGAGCAATAAGAAAGCAATAAAGAAAACAATGAGATAGCCTGTCTCAAGAAAAACTTCATGTTATATGTTTTATTTGTGAGGTCTATAGTAATAAATATACTAGCTATTGTAAGTAATGGTAGGAAATTGTGCCAAGAGTTAGTGTAAAACTTAAATATAAAGAACTTGTATATGGCTTAAAATTCCCCTTTTTGTCTTAAAATGACACAAAATTCCCCTTCCTGAGGGTATGGGTACCTGTCCCCAAAAGTTGTCTAGTGCCCTGCCAGCACATGTACTGATCATATATATCAAAAAAACTTAATATAAGCCGTTTCGAAAAAAAATCATATTTCAACACACATCTTTATATACATATATAGACCGATTATGTAAAATATTTAATTATGTCACTAGCGCCTGTGTTTCAACATCTATAATAGTAAAATTCTTACCTCTTATAGTTGACACTGTTCCTGCAGCATAAAAATAATGACAGCTTGTGGTATATAGTTGAATTAGTAGAAAATTTCATATAAATCAATATTTGGAATCGTTTTACTCTATTTGATTCTTATAAGAATAGTTTTAAAAACTTTATAAAACTTTCAAAACTTCCTGATTGATTACTTCCTGGTTGGTGATCTCTTTTTGAAGAGTAGATTAAGGGGAGACCACTTATATAAATTTTGGTTTTAGACGCCTAAATATTTTGAAGCATACGCGTTACTGAATTACAAAAGCATGGAACTAAATTTATATCTAATATTTATATATTTAAATTAATATCTGTGCTAAAAGTGAAATATGATGATTGAGTATGGGGGTTAAAAAGCTTTGAAAAAAATATGTTATCAATATTGAATTTTTCACAAATTATATATAAATAAATTGTAACAAAACATGCAAATAACCACTATCTAAAAAAATCATTCACGTAAGTGTGTTGTCTTATAAAATTTGAATGAGTATATGAATATTAATTTATTAACTGTTATTTATATCGAAAACTTACTTGTTTGAGTTATAGTATAAGCAGATGTAAGAATAAAATTAAGAAATCCATGTGTAAGTTTTCATGGACTGTTGTCGTATATTGTACTATATAAATAATATCAACATGTACTTATATGCGTTTACAACTGAATTATCCCCATTGAGAAAATTTTCAATGAAACCGTTGTGGTTTTATTTAAATTGTTTATGGGAGAGTTTGTTCACTTTGGCACATGGAGGACAGTTGAGGAAATAATGTTATCATGGTTTAATTTCAATTTCAGCACATACAAAAAGAGGGCTTTTTACCATACTTTAAAAACCAAATTGATTTCTCTCAGATGGCTGCACTGTATGCACCATTTGGTATCTTCTAAAAAAATCACCTACGTACAGATACGTAGTGATCGAGCTGGGACTGTCTAGACATTTACATTTCTTCAGACAATTTAATTGAAAGGAATGATGATTGTCTGACTGGATGATAGTTCCAGTCTTAACTCGAAGCAGGGTCTTTCAAATAGAACTTGAAAGACCCTGCTCGAAGATTGTAAAAATGAATTAGGGTAGAGTTTGGTGTGATAAAATAGTTCTAGTGTTACTTAAATTTAGTAAATTGTAAACTGAAGTTTTCCTACTGTATATTAATTAGGAACCACTGAAGAAAGATATTGTGGAGATAGATCATTGAATATGTCATAAGGTAGATTCTGTTTGTTTTTGTAGCGCTTTACTTTAAGAGATTGTATAACATGAAAAGGCGTTGCAAAGCAGTTATCTTTAGCACGGACCTGAATTGACAATTAATAAGGTCCGTGTCTTTAGCAACTGTTCACAAGCAAGATCATATTATATTAATTTGTTGCGAGGCTTTTGTGTTAAGTTATTTTTTTTTCATATATCACCATATCGCTCCATTTTTCTGACCTTTGATATAAATGCATCCCCTTCGAATTCACTGGTACAAACTAATATACTGCAGTGTTCATGTTTAGTCCCCTACCGGTTGTACCCTAGAGCTAGGGGACTATAGAATTACGTACCCTCCTTTGGTCTATATGCTTATTTGTCTGTATGACTAAAATTTGTCCTTGCTTTAATCACAGATTTATATTACAAAATCCGTGTGATAACTTAAAATCCCTATATTCTAGACTGACCACAAAATGATGAACCTATATATGAGTGGCTGCATGTACAGTGAGCCATTTCCAATTCTCTGTATATTAAACTGTTCCTGTGGTAATTTTTTTTTGTAATTTTAAAACCCCAAGATACATGTAAGCTACAATTTAAAAACTTGATATGTATGTAATCATGTAAGTTAGGAATAGGCGGCTGCATGGAAATCACGCATTTGAACATGTATTTTTTTTTGTTCTCCCTCGGGTCAGAATTTTGGTTGCTGTGTTTACAGTCGCAAAAGAACTACTCAAATCGGGCTTATATGACTTGACATAAACAATAGCAAGACTTTATCACACTTATTTTAGCCCTACAGTAAAGTTCTCTACTTTCAGGTCTAAATTGACAGTTTTGTTACCCAACTTCATGTATCATAATTGAATATACTATAATGACTTTTCGAAATGAAAACACTCGTGTTTTTTTTTTTTGCTTTTTACACGTAGGATCCCTTCAAGTTCAGGAAAGAACACTCACGTTTTTTTTTTTTTTTTTTTTTGGGGGGGGGGGGGGGGGGGGGGAATGTCAGACGTTTCACTCCCAAGACATTTCACTATTGAGACGTTTCACTCCCAAGACGGTTCACACCTAGACGTTTCACTCCCATTTTGTCAATTGTATGGACGTTTCACTCCCATTTTTTAGATGTTTTTATTAAGAAAATTCATTTTCATTATGAAGGGGAAATTCAATTTAATGATTCATTTTGTTGAATTTGAGAGTATTGTTAAGAAGAATTGATGAATTTGAAGAATAATTATAGGCCTAAAAGTATAATTTTTCTGAAATATAACAGAATGTGTAAATAATTATGATCTATATAGATACAGTAGGCCTATAGTATCAGCTCAGAAAAGTGAATTTTGTTCCGTTTAAACAGTGTTTTGAAGAATTCCAGTTAATTATTAGGAGTAAAAATATTGGTTTCAATGAGGACGTAATTATGATGAATTATTAGAAGATTATCATTATATTCATTTAAATATGGGTTGAATGATAAGAGGTTTAAATGAAAGACAAATGTCTGAAATATCGTTTTTATTATAAGAGTAACAACACGAGAAAATTCTATTTATAATAAATCAAGAAAGATAATAGAATAACGAAATGAAAATGTTCATGAACAACAAAGACACATTGTAAGTACTAGTTTGAATATTGAAACCACTACCAGTACAGTAATTAAATAATATCAATATATTAAATATATTTATTAGTTTTTTTGTAAATATATTTATCAATGAAATGCAGAAAATGTGCATAAAATTAATTATTCTTTTAAATTATTTCTTTATCAATTTATTGAACAGTAGCCATTAAACAAACTTAGGTAATTGTGGTGTTAACAGTAATCTCATCACCTAATTAGTTGTATAAACACTGAGACCACCAATTAACAGTTTGACATCACTTTTAAATTAGTTGTATAAACATTGCACTTTAGCACCAACAGTTAATAATTAGTTGTTTATTGGACCATTGAAATATTTTTAGACAATGTTCAGCCAATTAAAACCAAAGTCATGGAAACAGAAACTCCTCCATAAGTTTTGGTTATAAATTATAACAAAAATAAAGGAATATTTAATCAGATAATCATATTTAATATATTATGTAAGATTATCTACAGATTTTTTTTTACTTATTGATATAAAAATATACTTAATTAATGCAAAGATAACCACTTATAAATTATTATCATTAAAATCTTTAATGAACTGCAACTTTCATACAATTATATCCGGTCATATATGATATCCTTCCCTAAAGCTACAGTCTCACTTACATCCCGGCAGAGCCCAGGCAGAGCCCCGGTAGACGTCCGGGGTGATCCGGGAACGACCGGGGTACGACCGGGAACAACCGGGGTACATCCGTAACTCTGCCGGCAACGTCCTGGATGATCCGGGATAATCCGGGAACATCCGGCATTCGACCCCGGATGGAATAAAATATTTAATATCACCGGGGTGGTCCGGGATGATCCGGGAAGGTATAGCTTTGCCGGCTTCATCCTTAGCTCTGCCGGGAACGACCGGGGTTATACCGGGAAAGCACCGTAGCTCTGCCGGCACAAACCGGGGATGATCCGGGGTATGATATAGCCGGTAGAGCTACGGTAGAGCCCCGGTATATGCCGGCAGAGCTCCGGTAACTACAGGCAGAGCCCCGGAGGATTAAGGTAGAGCTACGGTTGATCCCGGTAGAGCCCCGGTAGAGCCCCGGCAAAGCCCGGATCATTTCAGAAGAATAAGGACAATTTGCGATGATTGAACTTGTTTGTATTAAAAGCCTTCGCATTTCCCTTCTATCCAGTATGGCATAAGGATGTTTCAGAAAATCATCATGAATTACTATTCTGGAACAATAGATATTATATTAAATAAAAATTATGTATCAAAGTTATCATTTTCGGGCGTTTTCAATCCACCGGGGTTCTACCGGGGCTCTGCCTGGATCGTCCTGGGCTCTGCCGGGGCTCTGCCTGGATCGACTGGGGCTCTGCCTGGGTCAACCGGGGCTCTTCCGGCGTCATCCGGGAACGACCGGGGAAGCACCGGCATGAACCGTAGCTTCACCTGGGCTCTGCCTGGATGATCCGGAGCGCATCCTGGGTGGTTAGTAGGGAACTACCGTAGTCAGCTGCCGGGGTAAGTGTGACCGCAACAATAATTTCATCCCGGATCGTCCCGGATCATCCCGGTAACTTACCGGGATGGTCCTGGGCTCTGCCGGGAGTAAGTGAGACCGAGGCTTAAATAAGAATAAATATATGAAAAGATATCAGATCAAAGACATCTCTAATCAAGTAAAAAATAAAAATAAAACTTTAACAATAATGACATACCAAACTTTCATTTATTAGTAAAATTAAGGTCTATTGTAGTATATCAAAAGTATCAAAATAATTTTGGTATAAAATGGGAGTGAAATGTCTTCAAGACGTTTCACTCCCATTTGGGAGTGAAACGTCTTGGTGTGAACCGTCTTGGTGTGAACCGTCTCAATAGTGAAACGTCTGTCTACCGGGGGGGGGGGGGGGGGTTATAAACACGGTTACTTCCCTTGATCAGCATGTGGAATTAAGGGGAGATCAGTGTGAGTAGACATAATGGCGGGATCACCTGCGGTTTCTGAATTTACACATTTAAAATTACTGAATGCTTTGGGACAAATTAAGAATTTTAACTGTTTTGCGCTTATTTGTAATAAGATATCAAATAGCAATGCATGTGAATCTGAGTCGTTCGATGACGCCTTCTGTGAGACTTTGCGACCGGTAAACAGCGTCGACGTTTTCCCCTTTTCTAGCATTTACAGTTTCGGGATAGAAACCTTGGATTGGTTTCTTCAAACAGGAGTTCAACCAGAAAATATTGAATTACGAATGGCATTAAAAAACTGTTAGACTATGCAGAAGGTAAAAATATGTTTGGATTGATAACGATTCGTACCACTGCCGATTCGCCCCAGTTGATGGTCAACTCGGCCCATAAACCTGTAAACAACTCGGCAAGGCAAACAATGCTCATTATATAAAAAAAACTGTTTACTCATAAAGTTTCTATCTTTTGTTTTTAATTTTGTGGCTGTTATTATTGAGAAAATATTGGTTTTGTTTAATCTTTAATGCCATTTAAAACAGTTTGTCTACATTCACACTGGTAGGTAATACATGGCAAGTAACTACTGACAGCAGATATGCGTTTTTTTGCTTGTGTTAGCCTTTAATTAACTGCTAATACACGGATAACATGACATATGGTAATATGTTTAAGAGTTAATGTAAATACATTGGTGTCATTGAAAAGATGTGTTGAAGTATGATGAAGCGAAGATCCAAAGCTTTCCATTGGTGTGATAAATTTTAAAATCGGACATTTATTTAAAACAAACTAGCAGTTTAAAAACGATTTAATTTGTATTGTTTTAGCATAGGAGAGATCAATTTTACTTGAAGATAAGGGTAACAACTTGTATTTTTTCTCTCGATATACCTCGGTTATTTACGTAGTTCATACCGAAAGTTTTTATGGGTGTATTTATCAATAAGCTTGGCGTATAAATAATATATTCTCACTATTCTGATTCTGAAGTAAAACTATTTGAAAGCAACATCATTTTTAAGACTAACATTCCTCAAATAAAATCATTATGAATTATAAAATACTCATTTTATGTTGTTCCTTCCTAAATGTTTGATAAAAATAAAGACAAAAGATAAAGAAAGATAGAAAAAATGTATCTTATTATTACCAGACCAGAAATGTAAATATGGGCCGAGTTGACCTAGTATGCCAAATTTGTACAAGGCAAAACTGACCCCCCTATTCATTTGTCCTACTTTAGTGAAGATACTTTCCTTTTATTCATAAATGATTACAATTTACATGATCCTGAAAATTTATGTAAGTTTGGCATAAATATTTGGCAGGTACATGACGTAGCTTCACCATATGGTCCTATTTAAAAGCTTACAATGCCAAGAACTTAGGCTATAAGAATATTAGGCTGTAGCATTTCCTAAATGCACCTATTAGGCATTTTATAGATTATGCTTGTCCATAATGTCAAAAGGATTTCCTTAAAATATGCAATTCAAATAATAGAAAACATTAATAGGATTAAATTCATTACTCAATTTTGCTGTGTGCAAAAACCAGAACCACACATAATTTCAATTGGGACTTGATGATTGTTTTTACATGTAGCTTGACTTTTAAGGAGGAAAGAAAACATATTGTTACAGTCATGTCAGCGTTCCCATTGTAATAGGCAAACTTTAACCTTGATCATAACCTCTTTAACTTGATCATCATTTATAAATGACCTTGACCCTCATTATGTTTTGCTTGATTTTTGCTATATTATCTAGTGGCTATAACAATTTTTATTTATTTTTGAGTGAATTGTTTTCAAACTTGAACTTAACAATCTTTTAGTACCTTCAAGTTAATCTGACAGACCTTGACCTTCACTCATACTTGACCTAAGTCAAATTATTGAAATTTTCTTTTTTTGCTGTAACTGGCTCTAACTTTGTCATTAATGGAAGGATTAACTTTAAATAATATTAATTAAGGCACAACATTCTTTAAGATAAAACCTTCATCTATATCAGACTCAAATTGACCTTGGCTCATTTATGACATTCACCATGAAGTTAAATGAGACTATTAATTATAAAAAGGCTATAAATTTTGTAGCTTCTTTATTGTAACATATGTTTCAGGGACTGAATGGCAAGACTTAGCAAGATATTTGCAGGGTCACCAGTGGACAGAAGCAGACCTATCAATAATTTTGATGCACCACTGTCTATCAAAGCTGATAAGTAACAAGGTTTCGATTCCCAGCCTATGTTATTGATAAATCTAAAACAAATCAGAGGGAAAAGTGCCCATGCTGTTCAGAAAATCTTACTGGCATATTTGGTGAAACTTCTATAGGTTTGTTATTTTTTTCATTTGCATAAGTGAATTGGATTTTTGAGTTTTATGCTTGATTTGCTCTTCATTCTTATTCTAAATAAATGTATGTTTAAGGGTCACAGCAGCATACTAAGTTACTCTCATGCATGAAATATAGGACAATCATCATAAGCATACATGGACAAGTAAAATTTAACAGTCATTTGTCGCTTTTTGATCCCTTGATAATATTCATGTAACATATCAAATGTTTACATGTATCTGATAAAGACAATATACATACTCCACTGTATCTGTCTGTCTGACTGTTGGCAACTTTTATCTACTCTGTAATTCTCGATCTGTTTTAATAGTATATTAATGATACTTTGATAGAATATTGATCTCATTAACACCCATTGACCCAATGAGAAGATGTGTTCAATCCACTATGCAGCTGTCCTACTTTAAGCTCAGGGTTATAGTTTAGACATCAGGGCATTTTCACCCTATCTGCCGGGCCAAGATAAGGCCCAATAATATCCCAAACCTAAAATAACCTCTTTTTTTCCCCCAATTAAAAAATATCCCATCAGCACCCCATCAATATAAAACTGTTTCAACTTTTGAAAAACTGATTTAATAAAAAGAAGTGACAGGTTACGTATGTGATTATGCACATGTTAAAAAACTGGGAAGTCATGAATAAGAAAGATTTTCAACTTCTCAAATTTCCCAAAATAATGAATAAATTTTGAATAATTTTTGCAATTTATGCCAGGGGCCTTATCAAAATAGATGGAAAAGGCACCTAGGCTAGCATGCTTAAGTTGCACTGTTTTAGATAAATAATATTTTTCTGGATACATTTCATATACAGACAATTGTTTAAAATATATAAGGCTAGTAGAAAGAAAATATCAGAACTATAAAGTCACTATGCTTTAGGTTGAAATACACTTAAATAGCAGTTAGTTTGAGTCAAACAAAGTTGCTTTCAGGTGTACATGACATTGTGTATTGTCCTGCCATGCTGAGCTCTTGATTTTTTAAAACTCTGCTGTACATGTATATGGCACCTGAGGTCTTCTTCCACTAGTAAAGCTGGTACATCACCTGATGACTGTATCTACTTGGTAGATTTTGACCAAACTTCAAAGCAATGTTCTTTAGGTGGTCCTTTACTAAGTTATCTTTATCCACCACTTCCCTTAAATTTCTGGTGCCACCTGGCATTTTGCTGCTCAGTGAATACAGTTAGTGAGTACATGTATTTGGTTTCTTAAATATTGTTCTGCCTTGTTGATCTTAATACCCATACTTTATCATCCTGAGGCTAATGCTACAATGTAAGTCCTTTCCACTAGTTCTGACCTTAATAATTCTTAATTGTAGCATTTGCAAGGCTTCTAAAATGTAACAACTACATATTTTAACTACATATTTTATGTGAATAAAAAGTGAATTTGTAAAAGATATGTTGACAAATACTTCTTCATATATATGTTTAATATTGTTTATCTTGTGTCATTAACTTAAACTTAATAGGGCAATTTAAGGACCATTGGGCTTTGAAGTCTAATTTTGGATAATTTTCAGCCTATTTAACATCATATTATAATGCACAGGTAGCTTATTTATAAACATTTTATAAGCTGTTTTGTTATTTGAATTTCAGGTAACACGGAAGTTTGGCATGGACCAGTAGATGCTATAATTACAGGATCAAGTTTGGTCAAGTTTGGTAGCCTCAGTTTAGATGAAGGTTCAGAACTATCTCCATCTCATTCAAATCCTGGTGATTCTGAAGTGAAGAAAGATTTCCATGAAAAAGATACTCATCAGATATTGTCACAGACAATAACCTTTTCCTTTCTCCAGAATTTAATGCATCCTGGAGAAATTCCGCTGTATCCAAATATTGTAATTAGGCAAAAGGCTATCCAACTGCACTTTTACGACAGTGTAAATGACATATTAATTGAATCATATGAAGAAAACTATTTGATGATGATGACCTTAACTGGGTAGTTTTAATTGCTTTGTGGTTAGTTGTTAACCATTCAGTATTTTGCTCCGGAATAACAAAATCTATGAAAGCCTGTAAGTTCAGAGCTGACTTTTTGAGAGGTGAGGAACAGAATATTATAGAAATATATAAAAGGAAGTTGACATACCATTGTGGGGAAGTGGAGAAGAAAGAGCGCATGACTTTAAAGAAATTTATTGCTGAAGCAAAAAAAGCAAAAACATTAAAGTATCATAAAGGTGATTTGCCATTTAAAATAAAATAAAAAGTTTGCGAGCATTTTATGGGGAAAGTGAATTTTTTTAGCTTGACTGTTAGATAGATCAGGAATTCTATAAAATTCTATTAAATGAACATAATACTTTTTTATGCCCCTACTTAAATATCACCAATTTTTTGTCCATCTTTAGCTTTTAAAGTATTTGAACATTGAACACCTTAATCTTATAGAAATATTTATCAGTATGTATAGTTATGAATCTTTGGTTCCTGTAAGTTGAAGTTTGATGTTAATTTTGTTAGTCCCTATCTACCAGAATCACATGAGTGAAACGACTCGATCACGTGACCAGAACCCCCAGATCTTTAGCGTCTGAGTAATGAGACTCATTAAAAGCAGAGTTATTTCTGCAGGCGGGCAACCTATGGGTGGGCATGTGATTCTGGTAGATAGGGACTAACAAAGTTAACATCATACTTCAACTTACAGGTAAGTCTTGTTTAATTTGTAAATTTTGTTATCCTTATCTACCAATCAGAATCACCATGAGTTTTCAGAGTTCCTGCTTAAGGAGTCTCAGTTATACAATTAATATAATAATATATATGTAGTTTAATTTATGGGTGAAATCTAACTCGACAATGATTTTAGGACATAACTGTAAAATGACCTTTCATACATGAAATATGTATATAATTGTACAAACAACATTAATTCATTCTACAGGCCTCGACACTAACTTTTTTATCAGGTGGTAAGCCGGACCACTAGATTTGAAATTAAGGTGGTCCTTCCAGAAGTCAAGTGGTCAATTATTATTATTATATCAGTTTACTGTAAGTTTAGAAAAAAGTATGCTTAAAATTGATGACAAAGATGTATTTTTAACCTTTAAAGAAAACAGACATTTTAGATATATATTTTTATCTGAGAGCAAGTTAGTAGGTATTCTGTCGTGAAGTTATTTTTTGTTTTTTTTCATAGCTCATTCAAAAATACACAACAGGGCTCTTATTTGTGTTAACTTATATATTGAAGTGATTTCTGTCTCAACTCAAGTTAGGGAATAGTGAAACCATTTGTGTCTGGGTTTTTTTCTTACTGTTATTCAAATATACATTGCTGATACGTGGTACGTCTTATAATCATGATAATTACATGTATCTTTTATAGATTAACATTTTAATAAAAACTAATAAATTATCTTAAAACAAGGAAATATCTAAAGGATAAAAAATAAAAACAACTTTATATATAATTATAGTTTAGCTTATTTTTCTCACAGATTTATTATGAATACAGAATTTTTACCGCCCGTTGCTTGTTGGTTGATATTTATTTTTTACATTGAGTATTTTTAACCTTTTATTAAAAATTAAAAAAAAAGTAATTTTAACTCTGCGTTAACAAGTTAAAATAAAGATAACTAGCAAACAACTTGATGTATTTCTCAAGTTCCTTTCGTTTGCTGCCATTATTCATGTATATGAAATTGAAAGTTCATACGGTATCCCATACAATATCATAATTACCATCGTCGGATACCCACGTGTGATTAACATGTAACATAACATAAATGTTAAAAGGTTCCACCATGGTAATCCGACGATGCATCATTACTAGCATTTGAATGCAATTTGTACCTAGCTTAATATCACAAATTCTTAACTCTTTTAACTTGCATAGACACAATTTTAGCGACTTAAAATGAAAGTTATTGATGATTTAAGACCTTCTTTAACTTATCAGATTAATCTATTAATGAACCATATACATGTTCATAGGACAAATGGTTTTAAACAAAATAATTATATATAACATGTTTTTGACCAAATCGCCATTCTCCCAAATGACATCTCATGTGCAATTATAGCGCGGTAATGCAGGTTTCTCATTATATACTCCCTTAAGGAACTGTTTAATCATTATGTGATTACCAATTTGTACATTATTTACAATAAAGACAATGCTAGATATTGCCAATTTGGCAGAATTAATACCACTGTATCCTTATCCTTTTTGATATAATTCTGTTAAAGATCCTGTATGTTTTGTGATTGATTGTGTTACTGTGTGTATACCACACTTGCAAAAAATTATATATGTATATAATTATGCAAATAAAACAATTTTCAAACATCAAAGAATATGTAAAATTTGTACTGCAAATATTTGTGCACATTATATTTAATCAATAAATTACATGCATTCATTTCTTATTGTAAAATTTGACTTAAAATTTATAGAAAATAAATTTCTAATTATCTCCCTTTATTTACATGAAAAGTTAAATTGGGTAATATCTTTAAAAATGATGCTTATTGGAACATATAATTTTGACAAATCTTAATTTGAGCATCAAATTTATGAAATAAAACCATGAAAAAATTGTGTTACAGGATCTTTAAGAAAGTTATAACGCAGGTTACAGTGGGGTTAAATGGATCAATTTTCTGTGAGCCACAAAAGTGCACCCATTTTGATAAGTAGCTGCTATAGAGTGCTGTAGCTTGTTTTGATAATCCTTTACAAATAGTTTTTCCCTGAGATCCTGAAGACACCCAGAATAATTTTGCCCATTCTGTTATATGTCTGTGGGATGTATTAAACTTTCCCACACTGGAGGTAATATTCTCGGTTGATCTGCTGCCATCTGTAGTAACCGAGGAAATCATGGCCGTGTCAAAAACAGCGGGGCTACTAATACCGCTTCCTCTTCGTCTTGCTCCAATTTTTTTTACACTTGACCAATCACACTGAAAGGTTGAAAAATGTATGAAAAATATTTATTCCAATTTAACAAAAATGCATTTATAGCCACCGCTCTTACATCTGTCTCAATAATATTTGAAATATACTTGTCACTTGTAATTCGCTTCCACTTATTAATAAAAATGTTAACTTTCCCAACTTTGAAATTCTCAGGGGTGTTACGAAACTGGCTTAATTTACTTACATTTAATATTTTGTGCTGTTTTTTCTGACCCTGTAACACTTTTCGGTTGCCTTTGCGCTGGTGTGTTGTGTGCAACCCGGTGTTGGTTCAGGGCCCGTTTGCCTAAAATATCCTGACCATGTGTCTTCCTGGAGTGTTGAGGTTTTGCCCCCCACCTAGGTCCTGTCTTAAGCTGTCTATTTTTGTCATTTGTGACAAATAAACTTTTCCCAAGCTTCTGATTGTCGTCGATCTCTTTCAGACGCCTTTCCAAATCTTTTCAATCGCCAAATAAGTGAGTTGGCTATGTTACATTTTCATATTCATTGCATAAGCTAGAGTACCTCATTGATATTGCCGGCAACAACAGCTGATACTGCTGCGATGATAAATTGCAATGCGAATAAGCTAATAAATTGAATGCATCTAATGAAAGATCAAACAACACTTCTGCCTCCTCTGAATCCATTGTTAGTGTTTTGTTCATTATTTGAACTAAAGGAATCATTCTTTTCGTCAAACAACCTTGCACTCCCTGAAACGATCTGTCTCCCTGTTTCAGGTCTTTGCTGGTTTGTTTGCTTGACCATAATAATTTATTTATGAAATTTGAAGGATGTGCATTCACATCATCTCTCGTCATCTGGTTATACTGCTCCTCTTCCATGCCATTTGTATACTGCTCTTCTTCCATGCCATTTTTATACTGCTCTTCTTCCATGCCATGTGTAAACAACTCATTTATGTTAGAGGCAAGCACTGGGTCTATTTCACTGTCACACACCTCAATACTTTTAAATCTTTTGGCTAATGATGCAAAACGACTTCCCTCTACATTTTTGTGTCGCCTTGAAAAGGTGACATATAGGGGTTACTTTTGTCGGCGGTGTCGGTGGCGGCGGCGTCTGTGTCGGCGTCGTTGTCGGCGTCGGCGTCCGCTAAAGCTTGTCCGGAGCATAACTCAGTCACTATAAGTCTGATTGACTTCAAACTTGGTATGCATGCTTCTTTCAATAACCCGAAGTGCAGTGCACAAGGACCGGTACTCTGCAGTTCTTATTTTTTTAGTTATTGCCCTTTGTTAATTTTCATACTTTAATTTTGTCCGGGCCATTTCTCTTCAACTAAAAAAGCTATGGACTTGAAACTTCATAGGATGATAGATCTCATTAAGAAGAAATGCAGTGCACAAGAACCAGTACTCTGCACTTCCTAATTTTTGAGTTATTGCCCTTTGTTAATTTTCATACTTTATTTTTGTCCGGGCCATTTCTCCTAATGTATAAAAGCCATGGACTTGAAACTTCATTGGATGATAGGTCTCATTAAAGAAGAAGTGCAGTGCACAAGAACTGGTACTCTGCATTTCTTATTTTTTGAGTTATTGCCCTTTGTTTATTTTCATACTTAATTTTTGTCCAGGCCATTTCTCTGAAAGTATAAAAATTATGGACTTGAAACTTCATAGGATGATAGATCTCATTAAAAAGAAGTGCAGTGCATAAGAACTGATACTCAGCATTTCTTACTTTTGAGTTATTGCCCTTTGTTGCTTTTCTTACTTTATTTTTGTCCTGGTCATTTTTCCTCAAGTATGAAAGCTATGGACTTGAAACATCATAGAATGATAGATCTTATTGATAAGAAGTGCAGTGCACAGAAACTGCTGCTCTGCACTTATTATTTTTTTAGTTATTGCCCTTTGTTATTTTTCATATTTCATTTTTCTCCTGGCCATTTCCCCTAAACTACATTGTTCACAAGGCGACACATCCGACTCGCGGAGTTCTAGTTTTCATCCAAAACCCTCTTATTTGAACCATCAACTGATTCGCTATAAGCCTCATCTTCATACTGTTCTTAACTTTCAAACTCTTCCTGATAATTCTCTATTTGAGTCAGTCTATGTTCATACGACTCTAATTTTTTTTGGTTGTTAGGCCACTTCTTTTTTTTTTCTTTGTTTACAAAATTTTTTTTCAAAAATGTCCACTGGGTGGTCGAAAAAAAAAAAAAAAAAAAACCTCAAAAAGGTCCATCGGGTATATTGTAAAAAAAAAAAAATCTTGTATGGTGCACATAAAACACTATTTTGTCAAAAATAGTGTCATTCTTCTATTGACA